TCCACGGCATCCCGTCTTTGCCACACCCCCTAGACCCCCCATGCATTCCGGCTCATGGCGGTCCCCCCTGAAGAACAAGAGAAGGAAAAAACACACCCCCCCAAATAAAAAAAAAAAAAAAAAAAAAAAAAAAATACATTCATGTTCGCCATATTTTCATGCCCGAACATGTTCGCGTTCGTCGGCGAAGGCGAACAGCGTGCAACGAGGATTATATATAACTGGGATACTTAAACAGTTTAGGGCGACTAGGTTGGACATCCTAGTTAATGCCCAAGGAAGAGAAAAGTTGTAGTGCCCTGTGTTTGTGTATATTCAATGGTTGAGCTAGACAGGTTTTCATAAGATTGGATGGTCTAGCTTTACGCCCTATGTAAACTGGGTATAAGGGATAAATCATTGAAAGACTATGAACTATTTGTTTGACCAAGTTAACTTGAGGTTGGTGAGAGTATTTCCTTTTATGGTTTGACATGCATGTGGCTGAGTGAGATTACTACTTAGTTTGAGTTTCAGTTTAATAGGTAGTTGTTTTAGATGCTCGCCACGTGATAGAGTCATAGGAGTTAGTTTCAATTCCTGCATTTTGTGAGTTAAGTTACTTTTACTTGGGTCGATTTCTGCATTTTTCTTGGATTTTTTGTTATACTTGGTCTTGTATAAATCTTGGTAAGCTACTTTCTTTATGGGAAGTGGTGCCGAAATTTCTGCAAAACCAAGGAGTTAGTCAAAATTTGACTTTTCAATGTTCAACTTGTCTAAATTTTATATATGGCTTAGTAAAAATATGGAAAGTCTCATTTTCTAAAAAGGGTGCTGCCCATATTTTTGCTAATTCAGGGAGTTAAACAAAATTTGAACGTTGAAAAGTCAAAGTTTTTTCAGATTTTTGAACTTAACATTGTATAAATTTTGGAAAGTTACTTTCCCTACGGGAAGCGCTACCGAAATTTATAAAAATATAAGATGTAAGTTAAATTTTATCTCAATAGAACTCAAGTCTTATGTTTGAGTTCATATCTGACTTAGTATAAATCTGGGAAGTCTACCTTTTTAAAGGAGATGCTGCCCAAATTTTTACTAATTCAGGGAGTTAGACAAAATTTGACTTTTCAAAGCTAGATATTGTTTTACTTTTCATATTTAAGCTTAGCATATATTATGAAAAAACAATTTTCTTACGGGAAGCGCTGTCGAAGTTTTCTTACTTTAGAAGGAGATAGATTATATTTTGATAGGTGGTGATACTGACAATCCATTTTGTATGGGGTTGATTCTGCCAAAAGTCTACCTTTCTTTGGACACTGACTTAGGGGTACATTTAGACTTAGTTGGCAGACAACTTTGAGTAAAAATGTGCTATGAAGATTTATTCCCCGTACACTGATGATTTAGCTTGGGCATTGACCTGTCTTATGGTATAGGTCCCTTTGATAATTATGACTCAAGATTGGGCTAGATTCAGCTTGATCCCACGAGGATCATCTTCTGTTATCAACTCCAATTCATTCTCGTTACCCAACCTAAAAGGCGTTAACCCTAGTGATTTTATTTTTTTATTAAGGTTTTCACCCAGACTTTTATTGAATGGTCGTTTAACAAGGGTACTGCGTATTTATTTTGGAAGGTTGGACAAAGGTTGGGGCTTGCATGGCTAAAGCAAGGGGTATGAGTATAGAGAAGGTTTGCAGTTGACTCCGTGTAGTGTGTGAGCTTTTGGTTGATTCTTTGATGTGATTGCATGTATGTTTGTGGTTCAGACTTTGGATTTGAATATTTGCGATTACATACATACACATGGTTGAAAGGAGCCTAATTTGGACTGTGAGAGGTGATCATCCTATTTCAAATAACCTTCATTTATA